ATTTTTTCCTTGACTAAAAATAAGTGGTGCACTATTTTTTCTTATACTTCAGGGAGTAGAATAAAGTAGAAAAATCAGGTTTGGTTAGAAGACGCGAACATTGGAAAGCAAAAAATCAATTTTTTCTGAAAAAAATTGGAAAAAATTTTTTTAAAATTTCTAATTTTTTCCTTGACTAAAAATAAGTGGTGCACTATTTTTTCTTATACTTCAGGGAGTAGAATAAAGTAGAAAAGTCACGTTTGGTTAGAAGACGCGAACATTGGAAAGCAAAAAATCAATTTTTTCTGAAAAAAATTGGAAAAAATTTTTCGAAAAATTTCTAATTTTTTCCTTGACTAAAAATAAGTGGTGCACTATTTTTTCTTATACTTCAGGGAGTAGAATAAAGTAGAAAAATCACGTTTGGTTAGAAGACGCGAACATTGGAAAGCAAAAAATCAATTTTTTCTGAAAAAAATTGGAAAAAATTTTTTGAAAAATTTCTAATTTTTTCCTTGACTAAAAATAAGTGGTGCACTATTTTTTCCTATTCTTCAGGGAATAGAATAAAGTAGAAAAATCACGTTTGGTTAGAAGACGCGACAATTGGAGAGCAAAAAATCAATTTTTTCTGAAAAAAATTGGAAAAAATTTTTTCAAAAATTTCTAATTTTTTCCTTGACTAAAAATAAGTGGTGCACTATTTTTTCTTATACTTCAGGGAGTAGAATAAAGTAGAAAAATCAGGTTTGGTTAGAAGACGCGAACATTGGAAAGCAAAAAATCAATTTTTTCTGAAAAAAATTGGAAAAAATTTTTTTAAAATTTCTAATTTTTTCCTTGACTAAAAATAAGTGGTGCACTATTTTTTCTTATACTTCAGGGAGTAGAATAAAGTAGAAAAATCACGTTTGGTTAGAAGACGCGAACATTGGAAAGCAAAAAATCAATTTTTTCTGAAAAAAATTGGAAAAAATTTTTCGAAAAATTTCTAATTTTTTCCTTGACTAAAAATAAGTGGTGCACTATTTTTTCCTATTCTTCAGGGAATAGAATAAAGTAGAAAAATCACGTTTGGTTAGAAGACGCGACAATTGGAGAGCAAAAAATCAATTTTTTCTGAAAAAAATTGGAAAAAATTTTTTCAAAAATTTCTAATTTTTTCCTTGACTAAAAATAAGTGGTGCACTATTTTTTCTTATACTTCAGGGAGTAGAATAAAGTAGAAAAATCAGGTTTGGTTAGAAGACGCGAACATTGGAAAGCAAAAAATCAATTTTTTCTGAAAAAAATTGGAAAAAATTTTTTTAAAATTTCTAATTTTTTCCTTGACTAAAAATAAGTGGTGCACTATTTTTTCTTATACTTCAGGGAGTAGAATAAAGTAGAAAAATCACGTTTGGTTAGAAGACGCGAACATTGGAAAGCAAAAAATCAATTTTTTCTGAAAAAAATTGGAAAAAATTTTTTGAAAAATTTCTAATTTTTTCCTTGACTAAAAATAAGTGGTGCACTATTTTTTCCTATTCTTCAGGGAGTAGAATAAAGTAGAAAAATCACGTTTGGTTAGAAGACGCGACAATTGGAGAGCAAAAAATCAATTTTTTCTGAAAAAAATTGGAAAAAATTTTTTCAAAAATTTCTAATTTTTTCCTTGACTAAAAATAAGTGGTGCACTATTTTTTCTTATACTTCAGGGAGTAGAATAAAGTAGAAAAATCAGGTTTGGTTAGAAGACGCGAACATTGGAAAGCAAAAAATCAATTTTTTCTGAAAAAAATTGGAAAAAATTTTTCGAAAAATTTCTAATTTTTTCCTTGACTAAAAATAAGTGGTGCACTATTTTTTCTTATACTTCAGGGAGTAGAATAAAGTAGAAAAATCACGTTTGGTTAGAAGACGCGAACATTGGAGAGCAAAAAATCAATTTTTTCTGAAAAAAATTGGAAAAAATTTTTTCAAAAATTTCTAATTTTTTCCTTGACTAAAAATAAGTGGTGCACTATTTTTTCTTATACTTCAGGGAGTAGAATAAAATAGAAAAATCACGTTTGGTTAGAAGACGCGAACATTGGAAAGCAAAAAATCAATTTTTTCTGAAAAAAATTGGAAAAAATTTTTTGAAAAATTTCTAATTCTTTCCTTGACTAAAAATAAGTGGTGCACTATTTTTTCATATACATCAGGGAGTAGAATAAAGTAGAAAAATCATGTTTGGTTAGAAGACGCGAACACTTGAAAGCAAAAAATCAATTTTTTCTGAAAAAAAATGGAAAAAATTTTTTCAAAAATTTCTAATTATTTCCTTGACTAAAAATTGTGGTGCACTATTTTTTCATATACTTCAGGGAGTAGAATAAAGTAGAAAAATCATGTTTGGTCAGAAGACGCGAACTTTAAATAGCGAAAAATCAATTTTTTCTGAAAAAAATTGGAAAAAATTTTTTGAAAAATTTCTAATTTTCTCCTTGACTAAAAATAAGTGGTGCACTATTTTTTCCTATACTTCAGGGAGTAGAATAAAGTAGAAAAATCACTTTTGGTTAGAAGACGCGAACATTGGAAAGCAAAAAATCAATTTTTTCTGAAAAAAATTGTTTAAAAATTTTTTAATAATTTCTAATTTTTGCCAAATATGCTTTTTCTACTTTATTGTACTCCCAGAAGCATAAGAAAAAATAGTTCACCATTTATTGTTAGTCAAGGAAAAAATAGAAATGTTTCCTATATTTTTAAACTTATTTTATCCTGAAAAAATTAAAATTATTTTTATTATTATAATATTAATATTTCTTTCAAACTACAATTATTTATTATTTATATAATAATATAATTATATAAATAATAATCATATATTATTTGTATTTGCTAATGTTATTTAATTTTATTATTGCATATTAATTGAATTGTTTACATTCCGTTAGAGCCAGTTGAGCGCCTAACGTTAGTTTTCTTTTGTTTTGTTGCCAACACAAAATTTTTAAAAATTAACTGGTTGCTGATAACTGGGTGCCAGCTTCAGCTTCATTAAAATATTCTATTTTTATTAATCAATGATAAATAAGTAAAATTATTAAAAATTTAAATTACTTACAATAACTATTGATGGTTTTTAATTGACTTTTATTTTCAAAAAGTTTGTCTTTGTTTTAGAGGTATTTTTGGTATTATTGTATTAGTATTCGTCTTGTCAAATAATATTTTCAAAAATATTCTTTTATTTTTTTATTATTATTTGAAATATTTTTATTTTTATAAATTGGTAGAATCGAAGATTTTAATTGTATCGTTTCTATATTTTGTTTTAATAGGAACAAATTTAAGTTGTATTTAAATTGAAATAAACATTAAAAAATTATTATTCCTTCAAATTTTTTTATATGTTCAGTATTGGTGTTATTGTTTACTTTTTAATAATATTAAAATAAAAATAAAATGGAGAAAGACTCTGCAGATAATAGTAAGCATTTATAAAAAATTTAATTAATAATATAATAAGATATAATAATTTAATGAGAATAATAAATTTATAATTATTTTTCATAGAAAGAAAAAATAACAAGGCGGAAGATTTTTCGATGAAGAAATTTAAAAAAGGTATATTTTTATAATTTTATAAAATTATTAATATTAAAAAATTAATTATATGTTTTAAAATAAAAATATTTTTAAAATTAATGTTCTTAATTAAAATTTGTTTCAGAATCAGAAGAGGAAAAAGAAGCAGAAAAAATTTCTAGTAACAATATCACTCCTTGTGGAAAGAATATCAGCGAAGGTTAGTTTTTACAATAATAATAATAAATTATTATAACAATAATAATAAATCATTAGAAATTATTAATTAATTAATACAAAAATAATAACAATATTATTATTAATAATATATATATATATCTTTTAAATAATATATCAAAATTGTTTTTATTTACTTTTAGATTCCCAACCGCAGGAAAAAAATGGAACTAATGGCGGTAATTCTGACAATAATTTCGAAGAACGTGAGTTTGATATTATTTGTCAATAAATATTTATTATTTAATAATCGTTTTTATAATTTATTATTTTTATGATTAATTATGTTTTATTTATTTTAAATTTCTTTCACTATATTTATATTTTATATATTTTCTGTTTTATAAGTAATTAAAATGAATTTTTTTTTACTTTTAAAATATTTATTTTATAAAAAAAGTTTTTTATAAATCTTTTTTGTAACTATTTTTTTATAAATATTTTGTTATATTAAATATAATTCTTTCAATTTTATAACTAAATTTATTATTTTACAGTATTATCAGAATGGGATGAAGCATTATTAAAATTTATTTTGGAATGGGAGAAAAAGAACCAAAGAAAATTATAAATAAAAAATGTAAATAAAAAAAATATAGATAAAATGAAAAATAAATTTTTAAATTTTAAATATTTAAATTTACAGTAAATTTTTTTTTAATTTAATATTGTAATTTTATTATTTTTATTATTAAATTATAGTTAAAAAATTATTAAAATAAATGGACAACAAAAATATTTATGAAATCTAAATAAAAATTGTATAAATTTATTATATTTCATGTAGTTATTTATTATTATATTATTTAATATTTATTATATTATATTTTTTATTGTTATATTATATATATTGTTATTATATTGTTATATTATTGTTATTACTTATATAATAATATAATAATATTTAAATTTATTATTATTAATTTTTTCATTTTTAACCTATTTCAAAAAATTTTGTTAATTAAAAATAATAGGGGTTATTTTATTGAATATAAAAAAACACAATCAGTCTATACCAGTCTATACTTCAAACGTATTTGTTTATAATAAATTTTGTCAAAATGGGTACGTAATTATTAATTGGTTTATATAAAATTATTTATTTATTAATTCATTTCTTAATTAAATTAATATTTTCAGTATTTGATTTTATCAAAAAAATATTTTCATCGTCTGAAAATGAAAACAAAATTGAGAGAGAAGAAAAAAATGGAAAGAAAGAAGAAAATGTAAAAGGTGAAGAAAGGAAACAGAATAAAAATAAGAAACAAAATATGCAGGAAGAAGAGGATGAAATTAATGAGGAGGAAATTCAGGAAGTTGATACGAAGGAAATCAAGATGGAGGTTAAAATGAAAAAATTAAATACGAAAATGCAAGAAACAGAAGGGAAACAACTGCTGCCAGAAATTTAAGAAGAAAGAATAAGCAAAAAGCAAACGCTAGGTATGAATATGTTATCTAAATTAATTTTTTATTCTTCATAATTTATTTATTTATGCTTTTTCGTAAATTCAAAAAAATTAAATTTTATTTCAATATTATTAAAATAATTTAAATTTGAAATAATTCCAGTTTTGTTTCTTAAAAAATAGTAAACTTTATCTTGTAATTTTTTATTGTTATTATTTATTGTTTATAAATTCATTTACATTTTTAAATTTTTATTGTGTGTTTAATTATTATTTTTTGTTATTTATTATTATTTATAAATTCACTTATTTATTTATTCTTTATAATTTATTTATTTATGCTTTATCGTAAATTCAATAAAAATTAAATTTTATTTCAATATTATTAAAATAATTTAAATTTGAAATAATTCCAGTTTTGTTTATTAAAAAATAGTAAACTTTATCTTGTAATTTTTTAATTGTTATTATTTATTGTTATTGTTTATTTATAAATTCATTTACATTTTTAAATTTTTATTATGTGTTTAATTATTATTTTTTGTTATTTATTATTATTTATAAATTCAATTATTTAATTTTTGCTAAAAAAATTTTTTATTTATTTAATTTTTTAAAAATATATTATTATCAATTAATTGTTGAGAATAATGATTATATTTAAAGAAATAGATGAATTTTTATAAAATTAATTAATATTTTTTATTAAATTTAAATTAATTAATTTAAATTTTATTTGTAATTTTCAGAGAATTGCAGCAACTAAAATTTAATAATAATGGAAAGCAACGGTGGAATAATCGAACTGCTACACCATATGCTCGATCATATCGACAAAGATATCCACCACAAGGATTATATCCACAGACAGGCTATCCAACACAATTCTACCCGCAACAACAAATGCCTTTTCCTAATGCATACATACCACAAACGTATTATCAGCCACCTTACACATCACAACCATATTATCAACCACCATACACACCACAAACATTTTCCCATCCACCATACGCGACACAAACATTTTACCCACCTCAATCACCATATTCTCCGAGTTATTAGGAAATGTATTTATTGAAAATAAAAATAAATAAATAAAATTTAATATTTAAAATATTTGTTGATTTTAAATGACTGTTTTCTCCCTATAATTTCTTAAATAAATTTATTGTATAACAGAAAATGGTAGAATTTTTCAACTTTTGCATTATTTTGGAAAATTGAATTTTCGACAATAGGTTAAAAATAAAAAACCAGACAAGTGCGAGTTGCACTCGCACTGAATTGGCGGGTTCCGTACACAAATACAAGGATAATACTAGTGATATTTTAACAACAATTGGTAGACGTTTTCAACTTTTGTACTATTTTGGTAAGTTGAATTTTCGACACTAGGTTAAACATAAATAAAAAAGAAAAATTGAAGTATTATATATTTTATATTGTAAGCATTAAGCAAAGGAACCAATTTTGGAACAAATTTTCTAAATATTGGTTCCTTTGCTTAATGCTTACAATATAAAATATATAATACTTCAATTTTTCTTTTTTATTTATGTTTAACCTAGTGTCGAAAATTCAACTTACCAAAATAGTACAAAAGTTGAAAACGTCTACCAATTGTTGTTAAAATATCACTAGTATTATCCTTGTATTTGTGTACGGAACCCGCCAATTCAGTGCGAGTGCAACTCGCACTTGTTTGGTTTTGTGTTATCGTTACTGTCGTTATTACTATTTTTACTGTCCGTTTTATTATTATCTTGTACTGTTAACTTTTCGTTTTTACTTTTCGAAGTTATATCTTTTTCGAAACTGTCGTTAATAATTTTCTCTTTATCAAGCAATTTTCCAGAACTGTCATTGTCAAGAAAGGTGTCACTACCGTCTTTATCACTGTCATTGTTATTTTTCGCAGTAATCAAATTGACTTGATGTGGACCGGTTGGAGTAGTGTTTTTCTTCTCGTCAGGACAAACTGAATCGGTTTCGCTTCTTCTAGGACTGCTTGGTGTAAAAACTGGCGACACATCTACCAGATAAAATGTTAATAAATAAAAACTGTCAATTTAAAAGAAAAATAAGCTGTCGACAACACACTCGTACGGTCATTACATATCGTTAAACTATTCGTTATTGCATTTATGAAGTGAGATGTAATGCTAAAATAACTTCGATTGGAGACTAAAGTCCATCCATCCAGAGTGAAGGAGATTTTCGATTTATTTTCATTTAAAATTTTCCTAATTGCGTTTTGCATATTCAAAAATCTACTTGAAACCTGCGAGCGTTACTCATTTCGTAAAGGTAATTGAGAGTGTGGATTTAAATAGCGAAATAAATTTTTGATACATTCATCTTCGAAGAAACTATAGGGCAGATATTTTTTGACAACCCAATCCACTATTTTCTTATTGATGGCACCTTGCTCAAATGGCTGCAATTATATATCAAGAAAAGAATGCAATAAAATTAATATGCATTTTTCTCAATAAAAAATATTTTTAGTTTCAAATTTGAAAGTCAGTTAATAATAATAATATTAATTGATACGTGCGAAACGTAACTATTTAAAATTTTTTTATATTTTTTAAAAATTTTATTAAGATTATATAGAATCTAAAAATGGGTAAACATGTTAATTAAAATTAAGTACACCTTACACTAAACAAGCATAAATAAATGCTAAGGATTAATATATATACATATTACTCATCAATTTGTTATTAAAAAAGCATAGAGAAAATCCATAAAAAGAAATAGTTATTTTAAATTTTTCTAGTATTTAAAAAATTACTAAATTATCGCCTCGATAAAAAGAATATGAAAAGAAATCATTTAAGAAAATGTAGCGACCGTCTCGGGAATTCGTCAGTTTTGCAAAAGTAGTCCCCTACACAAAGACTCTTTAAAGTACTTATAAAAAATTACTAACAAAGGAGAACACATACACACGCACAAAATCCAATAGAGAACAACGAACTCTATCACGCCATTTACCAAGGAATTTGCAAGCTTGCAAAAAGCTTCCTTGGTAACAATAAAGTATTGGCGGGCCGTGTGCATAAGTTTCTCTCACCAATAAAAAATGAGTCAATTTCCAGGGTGTGGACGATTTCCTTTTGGACTTATTCGAGGAGTTTTATTGAGTACTTCCCGCAGAGCGGACGTTTACTATATCTTTATTTTTCCTTTTCCCGAAAAAGGCGGAAGTAGATTATTTTTCTTATCCCCAAAAACAAGGGTTGAAATTCAAATATTGAAGTCAGTGTTTTATTAAAAAAGGATAGATTTATAAAAATCTGATATTGTTATTTAACAAGAATATTTAATTAAAAAAAAAGGAATCAAATAAAAAGAATATATATTAAATTATACAAAAAACAAGTAAAGAAATAAAATATAAAAAGGTGAATATTTAAAAGAGTGAGTTAAAATAAAAGAAAAAAGAAAGTAAAATTTATTTAGTTCTAAATTATAGTGTTTTTCTGAGTGATTTAATTAAAATCTCAAAGTGAAGTTCAGTTACCATTTTAATATATAAGAATAACGAATACAAGATATTGAAATTCAAGCCTTGTATTTGAGATCTAAGACACTCTACTCTCAGTCTCTTTAAATTCTGGAATTTATTCAGAAAATAAGATAAATGTTTAAATACGGTGATCCCGAAATTTGAGCATTCAAATATTATTTTTAGAATGTTGTCTCAGATTTAGATCAATCGCAGAGTACAAACTTAATTAGGAGAAAACAAATAAAACGAAATTACACGTATTTATAAAAAATAAAAGTATAAAGTATCGATAAGAGCATAATTGAAATTAAAAACAGGATATTATCCATAAGTGTCGACATTACCTTAGGGTCAAACCATTTTATTTCGCCTAATGTATTTTTGACCTTTATAAAAAATTTCAATACTTCGGGAAAATATTCTTACATGTTTTGGGATTACGAAATGCACAATGATTTGTAAAAAATAATTTCATTTCATATAAAAAAAGATATTATAAATTGAGAGTACATGAAAAAAGGTTACATTGACAGGCATTACAAAATATTTAAAAAAGGAGTAATCTCTTTAAGAAATATAAAAAAAGCGATTGCTATTTATTTTTAAAGACTTAATTTGTGATTTGAACTTGATAAAAGTATCAAATAATTTATAATAAACTGTAAAATATGTTATTTAAGTTTCTGTATGAAATGTCAAAAATCGATCATATTTAACAATTTTTTTTGACAAAGTAATTTAATTTTCGTAAATCAGAATTATTTAAATAATAAGTATTTTAAATACACTTTATTATTATTTAAATACTTTTTTGATTATCAACTGAGAAATATAAAAAAAACCTTAAAAATGAACCATTCTTCATTTTATCGGGATTTTGAATGTTTGTAACTTCGTTGGAGAAAACCCGATTTATGCCAAATTTTTGGAGCATGTTGATTGAAACAATATCTTCCTGCTACTAAAATTTCGCGATGGGTTCTGCACTAGTTTTCAAAAAAAATTGATTTAAAAAAGTGTTTATTTTGAAGGTTAATGACAAGTATTATAGCTGACTTGAAGTTGGTTTGCTACTTGCAATAAAAGTCAAATTCAAAATAAAACGATTTTTTTAAAGTCAGTTTAAAACAAACCAAAATAAATTTTAAAATTAATTAATTTTTATGAAACTTCGTAATAAGGTGTTTTTGGGGTCCTTAGTTACATATCTGAAGTTAAAAATTTAAACAGGACCTCGCTGCTAATCAGAATTTAGAAGGTTAGTATTTATTAGCTAGATAAGGTTCATTCGCCAATTAGATGATACGATTTTATATATATTTTGACTCCATCCTCCTTTGTTACACTTTCTACATAGTAAAAATTAGAAAATTACATGTTCTGTTACACTTAGATAGTTACACTCAGGAAAAAGGGTACATTAAAGGTATGCTTTATTAGTTCACTTTAACTAATCAATTTATTAGAAATATTACTATTTGAATCAGAGATCGACTTTTTGTTATCAAAATAGTTATTTCTAATTAACTAAAATTTAAATAGAACTTTCACAAAAATTTTGTTGGCTAATGGGATAAGATATTCCATAATTAAGTTTCATAAAAAATTATTAATTTTTTAAACATTATGCCCGCCATATTGAATCCGACACCTTTAATTTTTGAAATCTAACTTTAGATTTGTAATCAGAGACCCCTAAAACCCCTTAATACCAAGTTTCCTAGAAATTGATTAATTTTAAAATTATAATGGCCGCCATATTGGATCCGCCATTAATAATAACCAATAATAATATTATTCTTAGTATCACTATTACAATTACTAATTTCACAAAAATTATCCAAAAACATTTTTCTGGAGGTACTAGGAGATTTATAACCACTTATTATATTTAAATTAAAAAATTTTATATTAAATAAATCAACATGATGTTCATAATCGGATATAATAGCGGTTTTACGAACATGCTTGACTATTTTGTATTTTATATTTTCTTTAACAAAACAAATAACTCCTCGCGGTAATTTTGATGATTCATAATCAGATCTGAAAGCTGTTACATAATTATCCATTGATAATTCATCTAATTCTTTCAAGCGGGTCTCAGAAAAAATTAATACATCTGCTTGTTTAAACCATGCATCACATTGTATATGCTTAATATTCTTTTTTAACGAACATGCATTTTGATAAATAATTTTGATATCACCATCAATGTTATTTATATAAGACAGTTTTAATTTTTTGTTAGTTCTGAGTTTATCCATTTCAGAATTTAGTGTTACATCTTTCTTTAAATTGTTTAAAAAATTTAAATCACCTAAAATATATAAATCATTTTAATGACAGACTCTACTAAGAGCAACATAAACCATAGGTCTTGTTAGTCGATAACTATTTCTAAAGTCTATACAAACTTTATTGTATGTTTGACCTTGACTTTTATGCACGGTTATTGCTTCAGCAGGAACTAAAGGAAATTGCTCTCTTATTATTTTATAACCCATTCTTTCATTTATATTAATTGGAACTTTAGATTTAATTATAGGAACCAGATTTTGATCTTTATTGTTTTTTATCATAAATTCTTTATATGTGCGACGACTATTACATCCTTTAGTCTCTTTATAAAAGTCTAGCCATAATATTAATGGTGTGCCATTTTCAGGAAATGATATATTTTTCAATGTTCCACATGCTCCATTTACTAGTCCATCGGAAACTTCGATATTAGTAATTATCATATACTTTATTTCAAACTTCAAATTTAAATTATAAGAAAATCCTGCACATTGAATTCTAGTCTTATTTTTTATAATTTTTTGTAAATATTTAAATTAATAGGTAAAATAACTTTTTACACGAATACATTCGGACAAGTGGTTTTTAATGTATAAAATGCTCCAACGTTTCGAAATCAATACGATTTCCTCATCAGGGAGTCTACAAAATAATACAAAAAACAAAAATATAAAATGAAAATACGAAGACATTAAATAATAATTTATAAACATTAAAACTTATAAACACTTTATAAACATTAAATCTTTTTAACTTGAATTCCCATTAACATTAACATTTTTATTAATTAATATTTTCTATAAATTTCAGTTAATAACTCCAAATGTTGCATTCCAATTATCGGATTAAAAATCCTTTAATTCTTTTGATATGTTATGTAAAACATTTTATTGGTAAGATATTTTTATTGTTTTCTTTATAGTGACTTTTATGTTCATTTTAATTATTGTTTTATTTTTTGTTAATTTTTGTTCTATTTATCAATTTTGTTTTATTTATTTATGTTCTGTTAAATTATCATTTTAAGTCTTCGTGTATTTCTTTTTTGTTTTTTTATTTTTATTGTTTTAATGTTTATAAATTATTATTTAATGTCTTCGTATTTTCATTTTATATTTTTGTTTTTTGTATTATTTTTTAGACTCCCTGATGAGGAAATCTTATATTGATTTCGAAACGTTGGAGCATTTTATACATTAAAAACCACTTGTCCG